GATAGATATGCACACACACACACACACACACACACATATATATATATATACATACATATACATACACACACACACACACACATATATATATATATACATACATATACATACACACACACACACACACATATATATATATATACATACATATACATACACACACACACACACACATATATACATACATACATATACATACACACACACACACATATATACACACATACATATATCTATCTATATATATATATATATATATATACACACACATTTATACACATAGTATAATGAACATGACCGCTGCTCTCAACAAACCCTACATTGTTTGGCAGGACGTGTTTGACTACCACGAGCGAGTGAGTAAAAACAGGGAGTCTGCTTTACCACACAGTCACACTGGTTGCATTCAAACGTGAAAAAGAGACGTGTGTGTGATTGTAACAGGAATGAGACGCTTCTCTTCTAGCCCAGATCCAAGTACGTGGTGGAGGTTTGGAAGCAGGGCTGTTACCTGTGCAAGATGTGCCGGGTGACTAAGGCAGGGTTAAAGGTCATCCTGGCGGCCCCTTTCTACCTCGACCTGCCGATACCCACTCTACAACGTCAGGGGTCAGAGCATAAGTGCAAAACACTAACAAATACTAGAGACTGCAGTGCTGTGTGTCAGTGTAGTGCTGATTTCTCTGTCAAAGTGTGTTGTGCTGTGAGAATCAAACAAACATGCATTGATAAGCATGACTTTATAAGTGGTATTTTAGTATTATTTATATACTATTCAAATATGTATTTATGTTTGGAGGTCATTTTCAGATTGTATTTAAATTTAATTAAATTTTAGTTCATTTTAAATTGATTTTAAATTTTGTAATTTATATTAGCTTTTTAAAAAAATATTTTGATTTAGCATTATTATTATTAAAAATTTCAGTTTGAGTTTTAGTACTTTAACTTAAAGCTACACTATATAAAATGGCTTGCATCTTGCAAAAGATCAAGGATGGGTGAATGACGTATGCATGCAACTTCCTGCAAACTCCTTCCCAGCAGCTCTAAAATAAATTATTATTCTAAATGATTATTATTATAAGTTTATCAGAGTGTATTTTGTGAAGTAAAGACATGGTTTGGACTGGTCATTAATAACATTTTGTTTTGTTTTTGTGTAATAAAAAAGTAACAATGTAGCTTTAAACTTATTTAGTTCAGTTATGTATTTATATTTCTGCTTTATTTCAATTACCAAAAATTATTTTTAATAGTTTTAGTTTTATAACAACACTGGACTTTGTATGTTGGTATTGCATCAGCTACGCAGAAATATTATAGTCAATTAAAACTAAAACCATAAAAAATAGGTACTTAAAGTAGACATTAACTAAAATAAATAAATAAAAAACATAAAGATATTTTATGAAAAGGCAACATTTCTCATTTAGTTTATCTCTATATGCAAAAATAACTGAAACTAAAACTGGAAAAAGAAAAAACCTAATAAAAATTACAAAACACAACAAAAATACTAAACTTTAACTAAAATAAAAATATAAACTAATTTAAAATATTAAGGAAAACTAATAGTATCTCCATTCCAGAAGGTGTCAATCAAGAGTCGACTTTTTAGTAGTGTGAGGTGAAACACAGTGTCATCAGACTGTACATGAGACATAAGTAGGTTATATCAGAAGATATGAAGCAAAATGAATCAATACAAGTTATTTAAAAGTCAGAACTGTGGGCTAGTGGTTAACCCGTTGAGCTCTGGTGCTCTTTTGGCATTTTTGAGTTTGAATCTAGCTTGCAACATTTAAAAAATCTCATTCACACCTCTTACTCCCATCATTTTCTTGTCCTCCCTTCACAATACGCCCAGTAAAAGTCTCAAAATATTGCATTTATGCAGATGAATAAAGCAGAGCTGGTTGGTAAAGCCCTAGAGGCCGATAAGGCATGGAAAGTGCCGCGCGTGTGACCCAGTGTTTGCTGCTGTCTCAGATTCCACAGGACACGGTTCTGGAGATCTGGAAGGGTGCAAAATACCAGGCTGAACTGAGCAGGATGACCCAGGCCGGGCACAGGGTCCTGCTCTCTGCCCCCTGGTACATCAACCACATCAGCTATACGGCCAGGACTGGCACGACTCCGACGCAGTGCGGCCCCAGAATTTCTCCGGTGTGTGGAGCAGCATGCTATGATAAATAAATACATAAATAAGACGCTCTCCAGCACTTGCTCTTGTTGTATAATATTTAAAAATTCAAAGCAAACAGGCGATAAATGAGAACTCATGATGACTTTTAAGTATTTTAAGTAATTTCTCACAGAATCAACCACTGCTTGATGTTGTTTGCGCTGCTGTTGTTTGTAGTGCAGTGCTGGTGTGCTTTCAGCGCATGTCTGTTGTGCTTGTTTAAATATGTGCGGTTGTTTTTCTATGATTTAGGCACAGATGAGCAAAAGAAGTTGGTGATTGGTGGAGAGGTCGCCATGTAGGGTGAATATGCGGACGCCACCAATCTGACCCCACGCCTGTGGTATGACTAGATGAACAGTCCAGATCAGAATGAATTAGCACACTGTTGTGGGTCTTTATGATTTTGTGTGTTTGTGAAGGCCGAGAGCCTGTGCTGCAGCGGAGAGGTTGTGGAGCAATGAAGAAAAAACCCTGAACGCTGATCTGGCCTTCCCACGTCTGCAGGAGTTTCACTGTGAACTTGTAAGGTATTGGAAATATGTTATTATATGATATGAAATATGATATTATTCTTTATCAACTCCTGGCCTGTTCCAAGCACAGTGCACATACAAATGTATTAATAAAGATCTATTCAACAGTGATTTAGTTGTGTATTACCACATCAGCTATACGGCCAGGACTGGCACGACTCCGACGCAGTGCGGCCCCAGAATTTCTCCGGTGTGTGGAGCAGCATGCTATGATAAATAAATAAATAAGCCGCTCTCCAGCACTTGCACTTGTTGTATAATATTTAAAAATTCAATATAAAATATCAGTCCCTCAAAGCAAACAGGCGATAAATGAGAACTCATTTTTTTAAGTATTTTAAGTAATTTCTCACAGAATCAACCACTGCTTGATGTTGTTTGCGCTGCTGTTGTTTGTAGTGCAGTGCTGGTGTGCTTTCAGCGCATGTCTGTTGTGCTTGTTTAAATATGTGCGGTTGTTTTTCTATGATTTAGGCACAGATGAGCAAAAGAAGTTGGTGATTGGTGGAGAGGTCGCCATGTAGGGTGAATATGCGGACGCCACCAATCTGACCCCACGCCTGTGGTATGACTAGATGAACAGTCCAGATCAGAATGAATTAGCACACTGTTGTGGGTCTTTATGATTTTGTGTGTTTGTGAAGGCCGAGAGCCTGTGCTGCAGCGGAGAGGTTGTGGAGCAATGAAGAAAAAACCCTGAACGCTGATCTGGCCTTCCCACGTCTGCAGGAGTTTCACTGTGAACTTGTAAGGTATTGGAAATATGTTATTATATGATATGAAATATGATATTATTCTTTATCAACTCCTGGCCTGTTCCAAGCACAGTGCACATACAAATGTATTAATAAAGATCTATTCAACAGTGATTTAGTTGTGTATTAGGTTACAAATATTTTAATAATAATAATATTTAAATATTATTGTTGATAATAATAATAATAATAATAATATATGGCAGTGGTGCTAAAAAGTCACACTTAAAAATGTATGAATAACAAATTACAGTATATAAAAAAATTAAGCTGTTATCGTTGTGCCAGATGTAAAATGCACAACTAAGTCAGTTAGTTCATCATTTCATTCACAAAGGTTAGGTTTGGTCCTGATTTCCCACATTTAGAGAGTATGATGTAAAGTACCTACACATTTAATGAAATCGCCTGTCACTGCGACACCGATCCCGTCTCACAGCCGCACGGCAGCAGATCCTATTAACTCTGATGGGGTTTATACTCTGGATAAAGTAGGACACCGAGAGGCGTGAACGTCCAGATCTACGCACTGCTGCTGTTAGAGTGAATGCAAAAAACAAGTGGAATCAATGGTCTTTTAGTATTATTTATATAGCATTTAAAATATTTTATTATAAAAATAAATATAATATAATATAATATAAATATAAAACATTTTTGGTTATATTTTTAACTTCAGTTCAGTTTTAGTAATGTTGTTATTGGCTTTTGTCATTTTTATTTTATTTTTAGTATTTCTATCTAGCTTTAATTTTGCTTATTTAACTTTGGTTTGAATTGTAATAATTTTAGTAAAAAAAAATTAAGTACTTTTTAGTATTATTATAGTAATTATAGTGAATTTTGGGGTATTTAAAAATAATTTTAAATAAAATTATTCTCACTCATTACTAAAAAAATTAGTGCTGGGCAAATTATTAATTGCAATTAATCACATCCAAAGATTTTGTGCATAAAATATATGTGTGTGTACTGTGTATATTTATTATGCATATATAAATACATATATTAAATATATTTATATATGATAGAAATTATATGAATATAAATATATACATGCAAATACATGTAACTATTTTCAAAATATATACTGTATGTGTGTGTTTTTATATATGCACAATAAATGAACACAGTACACACACATATATTACATAGCCAAAAACATTTATTTTGGATGTTGCCCAGCACTAAAATGAATAAATTATACATTTTATTATAATTATATTAATAATAAATAAAATGTTTTTTCTTCTATCTGTATATACACATTTAATTATACATGTATGTATATATTGTATATAAATAATTATATATTATATAAATGTTTTTTTATTTTATAAAATGATTCTATATTTATATTATATGACATTATATTAAAATATTAAAGAATTGTACCATCAATTAAAATAAAATCTAAAAATAAAGTTAAAATGTTATTTTAAAATGTAAAATGAAATCTTGTATGTTTGCTGTTTATATTTTGTATAAAGACAACATCCACAGATGTAGCAACTTATTTATTAATTTCAGCAGAAGTTATTACTGTGGGTTCATTTTTTGTTTTCTCAGTTTATAGCAGCTTGATCCTTTTTTGATGATTCAGCAGCAAGTTACACGGAATAAATAAGCCTCCCGATCCCTTGCTCAGCACTAACATGCTCTTTTAACTTAAGTCCTCCTAATGTTTAAGTTACTTGCCAAAATGAGCTTACATGCCTTTGATATTTACTTAGACAATTGATTTTCTCATTGACAGGATTATGCTGCTGCTAGCAGATGGCAGGGATTGGTTAATCCCAGAAGGCAGCGCTGCCGCCCCGTTCCCACCTGCCTGAATCCACACGACCAGACTGACCCCTGCGTGACCTTTACTTTATTACGGATTTGATACGGACTATGATAACCTGGAGTGACCTGGAACCATCCATCCATCCTACAGAATTGGATATTATGTACATATTGTCAGCAAAAGACTGTGTGCTAACATGTATTGTGCGCAGGCGACGAGATTTCCCGCCAAATCGTCCTCACTTGGCAAGCGACCTGCAGTTTCTCTGTCGGTTAATGAATATTCGGAAATCTAGTTAATAATCGTATTAGTTAATTACACAAGGCGTGTTGTTCTGTGTCCGTTTTCATAACAGTTGAACATGAGCACGCGCAGCATATGTCCATCAATGTGTTTAATCCCAAACACAAAGATTAATCTCGATGAGTCACAGATTTATTAATCACTAGCTTCCTTACACCGTGCCAGGCATTAGGGCCTCTTCTGAATATGGTAAAGGGCCCTAATTAGATTTCAGAGCGTATTAGTTATTTATTTCATGATTAGAGCCTATTATTGGCAACTGTATGCCATAAGCCGTACTGTAAGAAGGACAGCTGCATTGCTTCACTCTCTAACTACTAAAACTCAGGCATAAGTACATGATGCAGAATGATTTTTTTAATAAACTCAAATAGAGCAAATGGCTGTTGTGGATTAAATACAGATATACAAGTGTGTTAGATGTCTTTTGTTTCATAAACTCGTATACAGAAGGATCTGTTTGCAGAGTTTGTTTTGTTGGAGACTCACATCCGTATCGTCTAATTTGCTTTGCAAAAATGCAAAATTTATCCTGTTTTTATAATGATTAATTAAATTTTTTACTTAAAAAAAAAAAAAAAAGTTTTTTTGTAGTTTTATTATTTTAATAAAATTTAAGCACATCCTCTGCCATTTTCATTACTGTAATACCAAAAAATTCAAACAATCGCTTTGCTATTACTATAATAATTTATATAATTTAAATATCTAATACTGAAATTATAAATATTATATTATTAGTTTACTGAATTAAATTTATTCTGCCTTCAATGTGTTTCAGTAATATAAACATTTTAATACAGTAAAACAAATACACATTTCGTCTTCGAATCTAATCATAAATGTGATTATTAAGAGTTACAAAAACAACATGGATTGATGGATGGATAAATAAATAAATATTTGGGGGGAAATTAGCTTAATTGTACGGTGACGCATTGCTGCCGCACACATATTATTTTTTCCACTCAATTATGTCGTAATAACGAGATGTTTTCCCATGACTCCTTTAGGCTATGATCAGATCAAAACTGGGCTTAATATTTCTTTATTTGAATGACTGAAGTATGTTTTATCAAACAAAAACAAAACAAAAAAAGAAATAAAGAGATTTTCTAATAGGCTAATAATAATAATAATAATTATTATTATTATTATTATTATTATTTCGTTCTGTCGTTCTGTCGAAACTTAGATTTTTTTGTATTTCTTGTTCGTTGGTTAAAAAATGAGCTTGCTATTTGTTCTTTCTCTCAGCCTGTCTTTACTGCCTATATCCCATCACACAGAATAAGAGTTCATCTCATGTACCGCTCTGCAAATTAGTCACAATAACGTTTCTTCAAACTGTCTGGCTGTTGTATATATATTTCTTGCAAATATACATCTCATATGAAGCACAACACTGCTCGTCTCGGT